CCCCATTGCCATGCCAGGGAACGTGACTGGAGGTGGGTCAGCGTGGCCGGAGCTGTTGGACATGCCCAGACTCAGACTTGGCCGGCCCCGTGCACCATCCTGGCCGAGGCCTTTGGCCGGGACATCGTCCCTCCCCCCATGGAGGTGATTCGGATGGGTGAGGACCAACATACCCCCCTTACACCCTGTCCCAGCCGGTTGGTTCCCGGAAAACCCACGTTAGACCCTGGCCCCGGAAGGGAAAATGTGGCGGTTTTCCACTTCCAGCCAGAAATGAGTCGACTTTAAACACCTGGGTCCTGGGGATGGAGTGCCCACTTTGCTGCCTGGAGGAGCCCCCGGCCCCCCAGGGAGAGGAGGGTGAGAACTCTGTGAAAATGCTCCCCCGCCCTCCCGCAAAAACTGGATCGTCAGGCTCTGCTTTTCACCCGCAGCTGAGGGCCTCAAGAGGCGGGAGGTTCACGGGGGGGTGGCCTCTCAGTTCCCCAGCCTGGGAAGGGAGGGACTCAGCCCCCCACCTCCTCCCCCAGCCCCCCACCTTTCTCCGCCAGGCCTCACGGAGGGGAGCTCCCGGAGGTGAAACTCAAACCGTCCACTGCTAGCAGATTTTTGGAGCTGGCTAAGAGCCCAGCCTGGAGAGGCGGCGCCCGAGAGGCTTCCAAAAGCAGAGGGCTACTGGAGCCGGCTGCTGCTGTCCCACTGGCACAGGTAATGATGGCGCTGCCGGCTGGAACTGCTGGATGGGTCTGTGGGGCCGGCACGGGGCAGCTGGGTTCATCAGTGCCTGCAAACTGGCAGTGCTCCACAAATGTGCAGGGGATGGAGAATGAGGGCCTCACACCCCGAGGGGAACGTTCCTGCCTCTGTACCTCAGTTTCCCCTCCCTGGCTACCCACCCCCCAACCTCCAGCTGGCACCAATGAGATCCGATCCGGGGCCAGCGGGTGGTCTGGGAGACGCCGCGAGGAGTGTGGCTTCTGTCCCTTCTGCTTCCAACACAATTCGGTCGTTGTCCTCATTTTCCAGCCAAACCCAGGCTGGGGGTCGGCGTGACCTCTGGACCTCACACTGCAGGCCGGGGCCTGGCCACGTCCCCAGGGGACGGAGGAGGAGGAAGGCGCTCGGCCCGGGCTTTGGCTGCAGCAGGAAGCCTTGTGAGTAAGGTGGAGACTTTCCAGTCATTCGGCCTCCTGTGGCCCAGTGCCCTCTCCTGCCTGGGCAGGCAGCCCGACACCTGCCCGGCCTGGGCTGGGTGTTCCTGGGAACCCAGGAATTTAAAAACTTTCCAGGCCGGCCGGGCGGGTTGGGGCTCATGCCTGTAATCCCAGCACCCCTTGGGAGGTTGAGGGGAAGGAGGATGGTTCCATCCCAGAAAGTTCAAGACGCGCTCCTGGGCAAACGTGGCCCCTATTCTTGTTTATAGAAAATTAAAAAACATTAGTCCAGGCGTCGTGGTGCGCACCTTTGTTGGTCCCAGCTACTCGGGAGGGCTGAGGTGGGGAGGGATGGCTGAGCCCTGGAGGTTGAGGGCTGGCAGTGAGCTATGATGGTGCCGCGTGCACTCCAAGCCTTGTGGGCGACAGGTTCCCAGACTGTAGAGAAAAACTAAAAATGAGGCAGGCGCGTGGCCGCATGCCTTTGTAATCCCAACGCTTTGGAGGCTTGGCGTGGGCGGATCACGATGGGTCAGGAGGTTGGACAGCCTGGCCAACATAGTGAAAACCCCATCTTCTACTAAAAAACAAAAAAATAGCCAGACCGTGGTGCTCTATGCCTGTAGTCCCAAGCTTACTTGGGGAGGCCTGACCACAGAGAAATCCGCTGAGAACCAGAAGGTGGAGGTTGCAGTTAGCTCGAGATGTTGCATTGCACTCCAGCCTGGCCAACAGAGCAAGACTCCGTTTTCAAAAAAAAAAAAAAAGGCCGGGCGCGTTGGCTCAAGCTTAATCCCAGCACTTTGGGAGGCCGAGGGACGGGTTGATCACGGGATAGGGAGATCAAGACTATCCATGCGAACACGGGTTGAAACCCCGTCTCTACTAAAAATATAAAAAAAACTAGCCGGGCGAGGGATGCGTGCGCCTGTAGTCCAGCTACCATCGGGAGGCTTGAGGCAGGAGAAATGGCGTGAAACCCGGGAGGTGGAGCTTGCAGGTGAGCTTGAGATCTGGGCCACTGCACTCAGCCTGGCGGCAGCCAGAGCCGAGACTCCGTCTCCAAAAAAAAGAAAAAAAAAAAAAAAAAAAAAAAAAAAAAAAAAGAAAAAAAAAAAAAAAAAAAAGGAAGAAGAAAAGAAAAGAAAAAGCGACGGAGGCTGAGCAGGAGAATGGCGTGAACCCGGGAGGCGGAGCTTGCATGTGAGCTGAGATCCGCACTTGCGCTCCAGCCGGGCGAAAGACTCCGTCTCAAAAAAAAAAAAAAAAAAGAAAAAGAAAAGCGAAAATGAAAGAAAGCGGGTGCAGTTGGCTCCCGCCTGTAATCACAGCACTTCGGGAGACAGAGGCAGGTGGATCACCTGAGATCAGGTGTTTGAGACCAGCCTGGCCAACATGGTGAAACCCCGTCCTTACTAAAAATGCAAAAATTAGCTGGGTGTGGTGGTGAATGCCTGCAATGCCAGCTACTCAGGAGGCTGAGGCAGGAAAATCACTTGAACCTGGGAGGCAGAGGTTGAAGTGAGCTGAGATCGAGCCACTGAACTCCAGCCTGGGCAACAGAGTAAAACTCCATCTCAAAAGAAAAAAAGACCAACCTGGGCAATAGAGTGAGACCCACCTCTCCCGCTTGTCTACAAAAAATAAAAATAAATAAAGTAAAAATTAAAACAGGGCCAGGCACAGTGGCTCATGTCTGTAATCCCAACCCTTTGGGAGGCCAAGGCGGGAGGATCATTTGAGCCCGGGAGTTTAAGACCAGCCTGGGCAACCAAGCAAGACCCTGTCTCTGCAGAAAAACAAAAGCACAAAATTAGTTGAGTGTGGTGCGTATGGTTCCAGCTACTGGGGAAGCTGAGGTGGGAGGATGGCTTGAGCCCAGGAATTTGAGCCTACAGTGAACCATGATTGCGTGATTCTCCTACCTCAGCCTCCCAAGTATCTGGGATTACAGGCATGTGCCGCCACACCCAGATAATTTTTGTATTTTTAGTAGCGGGTTTCACCTTGTTGGCCAGGATGATCTTGATCTCGTGATCCACCCACCTCGGCCTCCTAAAGTGTTGGGATTGCAGGCATGAGCCACCGCCCCCCACCAATTTTTAAATAATGTTGGAGGCCGGCCACAGTAGTTCACGCCTGTAATTCCACACTTTGGCAGGCAGAGGCGGGCGGATCATCTGAGGCCAGGAGTTCGAGACCAGGCTGGCCAACATGGTGAAACCCCATCTCTATTAAAAAATACAAAACTTAGCCAGGCATGGTGGCAGGCGCCTGTAATCCCAGCTAGGGAGGGGGAGGCAGGAGAATCGCTTGAACCCGGGAGGCGGAGGTAGCAGTGAGCCGAGATCGCGCCACTGCACTCCAGCCTGGGCCACAGAGCAAGACTCTGTCGCAAAATAAATGCAGAAAACAAAATGAGGTTGGAGGAAACTCTGGAGGCACAGCAGGTCCTGGGATTGGACTCCCTCCCTCCCTGCCAGGATAAAATGAAATCCAGGCCTCGCTCACAAGGCCCTGCACGAACCGGCCCCGCTCCGTGGTCCTGCCCCAGGGCCTTCGCACAGGCCTGCCCGGCACACGGTTCTCTGGGGGTCGTTGGCTCCCGGCTCAAACGGCCCCTCCTGCCAACCAGGTGGGTCCCCGGGGCCGCCCTCCCTCTGGCCTGGGCCCCGGGTCGGTGGCTCGCGCCTGCCACCTGGCGGCCAGCGGAGCTGCGGCGCCGCATGCTCTGGTGCCCGGGCCGTGCCCTCTGCTGGGAGCCGCGGACCGGGGGTCGCACCGCCTCCGGGGACCGCACCCCGCATCCAGCATCCGGCCCCTGCCTCTTGCTGCTCCAGGACACACGGCCCAGGACAGCTACAACCCCCGGGCGGAAATCCCGACTTTTAAACGAATGTTCCCTTTTTAAGGGGGTTGGCAACTAATTCCACTTTTTTTTTTTTTTTTTTGGACAGAATCTCGCTCTGTCACCCAGGCTGGAGTGCAGTGATCTCGGCTCACTGCATCCTCCGCCTCCTGGGTTCAAGCGATTCTCCTGCCTCAGCCTCCCGAGTAGCCGGGATTATAGGCACCCGCCACCACACCCGGCTAATTTTTTTGTATTTTTAGTAGAGATGGGGTTTCACCGTGTTAGCCAGGATGGTCTCCATCTCCTGACCTTGTGATCCGCCCGCCTCGGCCTCCCAAAGTGCTGGGATTACAGGCGTGAGCCCCCGCGCCCAGCCCCTTTTTTTTCTTAATGCCATTTTCAGACATGGCCCGCGACGGGCAGCCGTGCCATGAGGTTAGACCCTGCTTGGCTCAGACAGAACTGGCGACTTGTTTGACCCATACCAAGTTATCCGACTAATAATTTAGATGCTGGGGCCCCTAAAGAGGGGTCAAGGGGGAGGCAAATATGGACCAATAAGAAAGCACTGGGCCGGGCGCGGTGACTCACGCCTGTAATCAGCACTTTGGGAGGCCAAGTGGGGAGGATCACTTGAGCTCAGGAGTTCGAGGCCAGCCTGGGCAGGACAGTGAGACCCTGGCTCTACAAAAATAAATAAATAAGGAAGCAGTGAATTCCAATGTATTCATCGCCAACTAACCAGGTTGTTGGGTGTGTGCTACTCTTTTAGGTGCAATGTGCAATGAGGTCGGAACTTTATTATTTGAACATTTAAAAATACGTGAATCCAAGAGGTCGAGTCACTTGGCCAAAAACGCCCAGGAGGAAAAGGCCAAGTCTAGTACCCCAGCTCTAGACCTACTAACTGATCGCCGGAGACCCCGGCCCTTGGAATAAGTCGCCTCCCCAGATCTCTAAGCCGGCCGCGCGACCCTCGAGTCTCAGGTAAGCGGGAAATCCCATCTCACAGGGAAGCCCCCGCCCCGAGGCACGGGCGCATGCGCGGGTCGGCCACCCGCTGGAGCCGCGGGTACGCCGCTCTGGCCCGCGTGGTGCAGTCGTCCGCGTCTCGCTGATGATGACGCACGTCCGGGGCGGTGGGGAAGGCAAGATGGCGGCGCCCATGGAGGTGGCCGTGTGTACGGATTCGGCAGCCCCGATGTGGAGCTGCATCGTGTGGGAACTGCACTCGGGCGCCAACCTGCTCACCTACCGCGGCGGCCAGGCGGGACCCCACGGCCTGGCGCTGCTTAATGGCGAGTATCTGCTGGCGGCGCAGCTGGGCAAGAACTACATCAGCGCCTGGGAGCTGCAGCGGAAGGTGCGGCGGTGCGGGCTCGCTGCTGGGCTTGGCTGCGGGGGTCACGGGGCGCCCGAGGCTACAGTCGGGGGATGGGTTGGCGGGGGCCGCGTGCACCCTGAGTCGGAATTGGCGTG